ATATATGTGGTACTTTAAGTTCGATCTGACCAGAGCACTATAAGGCTCAGGCACAACTTCAAAGGACCGATTGATTATCAGGGAGAAGTATTACCGCTAGGACATCGAATGTGATAAATATCTAAATACACTCATTTTTGTAGCAGTGCATTAGGTATTTAACATACCACTAAAACTCCACTGACCCTATTATTTCTGTTCATCGCTGCAAAAGCATATGAACATTAAGCCAATTTTGCTTTCTGCATGTGACATTGCACCATATCTCTAAACAAATGGTTACTCTGTTCTGATTACAGATTTATAAAGTAGTAAGTACCGATCTTTGGGGTGCTTTTGCACAAAGGATTTTCAATAGAGCAATATTCTGATCAGATCGCCTCAGCCATAGGAAATCTAGATGGTGATATCCTGATTGAAAGGCCTTAATTTAATTTGAGAATTCTCAAATTAGGCACTATCCCAGTGCAAAGTGTATCCCAAGTGTAGGCAAATTTGTTAACATAAACAGCAAGATGTTTGTTGCAAAAGCAAATTCATGTGTTTCAAATTCAATTCAAATTCAAATTCATTGGTTGTGGCAATGTTTGCAATTTAAAATAATTGCACTAAAATAAAGAATAAGGCTGAAATTTAATTGTTTTCACATGGCACAATAAATAGATACAAAATGCTTGAGGTTTAAACAATCATTTGAACCCCAGTATTGGACTGATTTACTAAATTTTATTACTCATAATAGTTTGCCAGTTTTAGCCTAAACAGATTGTCAATACACCCAATATTCTTAATGATCACAAAGATATTGCTATCATGTGTCTAGCTAAATCAAGAATTTTTTTTTAGAAACATTATGGAAAAATAATAGAAAATTGTAGTTTCAGAATATATTTACTGATACTGATGTGACCCAGCACCTTGGGACTTCTTCCCAATGTGAAAGGCGCTATACAAATGTAATTTTACATTGTATTGTACTTACCCATCTCAGCAGATAGTCGACGTAATGGTCTTGCTGGTTTGAGAGATTTGCGAATTACTGGTACCTTCCTTGTAGTATCCATGATTACTGGTGAGATCCTGTTTGTAAACCTTGCAGTTTTAAATTGTGCATTAAAATCACTTTATCTATCTAATGTAACCAAGGTACAATCTATAGATATGTAAAAACTATGTGTATGCACCAACATATATTTATATTGAGTTTTGTACACTTATATCCAAATTTGGAAATCTAACTTAATAATAATCTTTGCATCTGATATAGCACCTTATCACATTGTCGAGACATCTTAAAGCACTTTGCAGGATAATGTGGGGTGGGTATTGTGTGTGTGTACAGGATAAAGTAAATTGGCTATAAAACAAGCCTGTCAGCGCAGTGTTTTGTTTGTCTCTCGTCTCCTTTAAACCTTTCATCCAGTCTGTATTCTTCCACCTCTGCGATATTGCTGTCTCCTACCTCACTCAATATAGTAAATCCCTCATCCATTCATTTGTCACCTTCAGATGACTTCTCCAATGTCTTACTTGTTAATTTCAACCTTACAACAAATCCAGATTACCCACTACTCCGCAATCCATATGCCCACACAAGGTTCTGCTGGACAATTATGGTCGTACTCGCCAGGCTCCACCACGTACCTCTTCTCCAATGGATTGATTTCACTCCATACCCTTGCCCCCTTTCTACCTCAATGATCTCCTGCAGTCCTATTCTCCTACTTTTGCTAACTCGGCCCTGCTTCACAGCCCCTCAACCCCTAGACCAGCAGATGAGCTTTCAGCCACTTTTCCCATTCTTTGGAACTCTCTCTCTAAATCCCTACACTTCGCACTCTCCTTTTATATCCTTTAACCCCTTCTAGTCAGCTGGCTCAGTTGGTGGCACGCTCGCATCTGAGTCAGAAGGTCATGGGTTCAAGCTCTTTGCCAAAATTTGGAACCCACATAGTCTATGACTAACACTCCGATGCAGTGCTGGGGGTGTGCTGCATTATTGAAGGGGGCATCCTTTGGATGAGACGTTAATTTTAACCATCTGTCAATCTGGACATTAAAAATCCCATAGCACTATTTGAAAAGGAAAGGGATTTTCTACTAGTGTCATGGCCAACAATCCCCCAAAATAAAATTGGTCATTCACTCCATGGCTGTTTGTGGTACATTGCTGTGAGCAAATTGGTTGCCTCATTCACCCACAAAATGCACACAATCACACCACTTTATAGTATATCATGTGAAGTGCTTTGAGGCACCTCGACGACCATGATAAGGCATTTTAATAATTATAAGCATTACTATTGTAAAAATCCACTCTACCTTCGGCTATCCCCCCCTCATACTGTCACCAATTTAACTCCTTTATCGGGTTTCCATTCAGTTTCTATGAAGAAGCCCTGGATGAACACCTCTCTATGGCAAAGTAAATCAAGAGACGGGGACAGGATTGACCCCTGTAATGATCCTAGCACTGAGACGGAAGTTTGAGATAGCTCATCCCAAAACTCCTTCATCTCACGGTTCTGCAGACACGAGTTTTGATGAGCAAAATGCATATTGATCCTTCATTGTGCAATATTTTTTAAAAATCTTTATAAAGAATGAAATATCTATATTTGTGGAGTCCTGTGGTTTAAGGATTATTATTTATATAATGCATTTGTGGTTAGAGCACTCGCTTTGCAAGCGAGTCACCTGGGTTCAATTCCAGGCAGAGGGCGAAACCTTGGGCAAGTTTTCTTACTCCACACACCTAATAATAATCCCTACAAAACAAAACAATAACTTGGTCATTTTCAATCCACGACTGTTTGAGGGACATTGCTGTGCGCAATTGGCTGTCGCGTTTTGCCCACAAATATACAGTCAATTCACTTTACAGCATATTCTGTGAAGCACTTTGAGATGTCACGAAGACGTGAAAAGCGCTATATCAAATGCAAGGATTATTATTATTAAATGCTTTGAAAT